GGAGGCACAAAATGATGTCAAACATTGAGTTAGATGGCCAATCTGGAGCTCAGGGGAGAAGTCAAGTCTGAAAATACATACTTAAAAGTCAATAACACACAAATAGAGTTTAAAGCAAAGAGGCTGCGTGAGATCACCTAAACAATGAGCTTAGAGAGTAAACAGGCGGGACTGGCATTGTGCTGAGCTACATGAAGAGAAGGAAGAGCCAGGAAAATAAATAGAAAAGATGGGACCAGAGAGGTAAGAGTTGGAAGCCAAACAAAAAAACAAGAGATAAATAATAGAGAGATGAGATAGATAGAGATAATGTGTTTCAAGAAAGAGAAAAGATCAATGATTTAAATCCATTGAGAGATTAAATTCAGTTAGAACGGAATTTGTCGTGGATTTTGCTGGTAATTTGACAATAATAACTACATTGGAGTAAAAAGAAAGGTTTGAGTAGAGTGGGTTCAAGAGTTGACAGGAGAGGGGGAAAACAGCATTCCCAAAAGTTCACGGAAAATGGAATTAAAAATAAGTTTGTTTGGGTGAAAAAGAACTTAAATATTCATACATAGTTTTTTTTTTTCACAACATGCATTTCTCAAGAACCTTTTAAAGGCCTCTCATAAATACGGATTTCAAATTTTTTTCAGGTGAATAAATTCATCTTTTATTCTCCATGAACTTTTTGAAGTACTGTTGTATAGACCACTCTCAAGGGAAAATATGCCTTAAAATATGGTGGAAGCTAAGGAATATATGAGGTCTAGGCAAGGCTTTATTTCTATTTGTGATTAGAAATAGCATGGTATGTTTCTATGCCAAATGATGCAGTAGACAAGGTGAGACTCATGATGTAAGAGAAAGAAAGAAAACAGTTGCAAGAGCATGGTCATGAGTAGGATTCTATGCAAAACAGTAGTTATTAAGGTCAGATAAGAGCAAGTGCTCTGGCTGTGTTGCATACATTAAGGGCAGCAAATTATGGTTGATTTGGTAATGGTAGTAGATTCTGCAGTGAATTTTCTGGTTTTTTTGTTTTTTTTTTTTTAGTCAAATAAGAGACCAAGCTATCAGCTGAAACAACAGAATAGGGAAAGACGTTCGAAGTCTGAAAAGAAGAAAGGTGTAAAACAGCTGCCTCATAAAGTGTGGGAATGGAAGTTTATTAGGCTTCTGGGACACTGCTAAGGGTCCATTTAAGATTCGTGGTCATAAATTGTCTGTGACTGGAGTCACCAAGGCGGCATGCTTTCTTTCCACAACATGAAACCACCGAGAGCTGGATTTCATCAGGAGTGAGACTTGCAGGGTGAGTGGGGGAGAAAGGCGCAAAGGAGTTCATGGTGGATGTAGAAGGAAGAGAGCATAAGAGGAACAAGAGGGATGGTGAGAAGAGGTTCCATGGGCATTGAAGAGTTAATTGACTGGGAGCAATAAAAGTCAGGGAGCTGGAAGGGAAGAGGCAGTGGTCAGTACAATTGTATGTAAAGAAAAAGTCTTGATAACAGTGTAGGTGGTTGAGGAAAAAAGAGCATTTCAGGAGATGTGGTCATGGAACTGAGAAGCCAGGACATTGGTTTTTAAGTGGATACTGAATCCAGAAAGAAGGATGACAGCAAAAGAAATCACAAAGAGAAAGAGCGACCCAGAAGCGACAATCAGCAGGGAAGAAGGAATGATCAGAAGACTGACTGCAAAAAAGTATATGTGGACCAAAGTTGCTGGGGTTTTGGAGAAATAGGAAATCCTGAAGCATAAATTATCTAGAATATGAAACAAGAATCAAGAAGGATCTACTCCACTTTCAGCCCCAGGGCACACGGGATATGGGAGAAATCATCCTCATTGGAGAGTAATGCATGAGAATCAATGTCTTAAGGGGAAAGCAAAGATTTAGTTGAATCCAGAAGGTAAACAGAATGTTCTGGAGAGAGGTAAAAAGAGCCAGGTGTTTTATTGATGATAGGCTTGATTTATAAACATAGTGGAAGTGTTTGGGATAAGAAAGGGTACAAGGGTGGATTGACCTCATCTGTGTTGGACCAAATAGGAAGGTGTGAGTGTATTCACACATATGCACAGTTCAGTTGAAAGTTGGCCTAGGTAAAGTTAAATTTCACTTGCTGCAACAGTCAAGCTCTATTCCTTAAATGTGCCTTTTTCTATTCATCCTTCTGCAGAAGGACTGGCTCTGCAGGTGACTACCGGGATACTGACCCTGTCCCTTCATCATTCTCCATGTCCTTCTGTCGTTCACCTTCCTCCATGCCATGTCAGCCAGTGATAAAGCCTCTATTCTGAATTTCTTTACCTCCACTAGAATGAAACTCTCCCCTCAGACTATGAAGACTTTTCTGTATCCACAGAAAATTACACCCAAGATACATCTAAAAAGACCAGCCCCAGTCACTAGGCAGGCTGCCCCAAGAGCCTGGAACCAAGTTCCTAAACTCTGAAGTCTCTTCATTAGCTCCTCCAAGCTTTTTGTTTTCTGCTGGTTCTGAATTGCTAAAAATGAATAATTGCTTGGCAAAAGTGAAAGTGCACCCCCAAGAATGTTATTGTTCCTTACACTGAACTCTTCAAACTACTCATCTATTTGACCATATGCTATATTATCCAAGCAAGATGCTTATTCTGAGTGACCTACAAAAATGTGGAGTCCTGTTTTTTTTTTTTTTTCTGGCTACTGTGTGCACTTAATCTTGTCCTAATAAGAATCCAGTGGACTAGACAGATAAGGAAACTGAAGCCAGTGAGTTAAGTCACTTGGTCAAATTCACCTTGAACCACAGGTGGATTACTTTGAAGCTAACACAGGTTAAGCATAAGCACCATTTTCTTTAATGGGCTCCTTCTAAATCCTGGAAATGGAAGAGGTCTATGAGTGTGTTCACAAGGTCACCAGTTTCTATAAAAGGTATAAGAGTGTTGCATTTTAATCATCATTTTGATTAGATCACAACTGGTAAATATTACTGTTTCTTGCCACTCCAAGTTCCCCTCCATCACATTTCCTTTGTGTTGCATGGCCCCAAGTGTTTATAGGATCCAGCTAATGAAGGGTTGACTTCAGGGTATACATATGTAGTTTAGGTTTCATAGGATCCATTTACAGGTACCCAAATGTGCATAGTCCCATTACTTCAAGCCATCCTACCATAGGACTGATTTAATATGTACATCTCAACCTCCTACTCAACCTTCCCCTCCCTGTGCTAGCTCCTTGGGCTTCTTCCCAAGGACAAGAGTTCTACAATATTGTCCTAAGCATCTGGCATCAGAAGTATGGGGGTAGAGAAGTAAGATGTCATTGGATTATCATTCCCTTCTCTACAGAAAAATGCTATAAAATTGTTATTTTTTTAAGTCTTCATTGAAAAATATTCAGCCTAGAAACAGAAAGAGTGTTTTAGAAATGTGTTAGGAAGCTGCTTTATAAAAAAATATTCTGCTATTTTATGGATTTTATGGTACATGAGGCATTTACCAATTTTTAAAAATTTATAATCTATGGTATTTATTTCTCATTTTAAATACATACTTTGATGCCTAATTTCTAATGTATATTCTTTTCTTAAAGAAGACCCTTTCCAGGTTGTCTCAGCCCTCGTAACGCCTACAAAAACACTAACTAAACACTAACTAAACACCTCCATGTTTGATGGAACATCCAACCTCTCGGATGGACCCAGTCCTTCCATACGATCAGAATCAGAAGGCACAGAAGGCAATCTGACCAGTGGGAATTTCCACTAAGAGCAGGTCATATTTTTACTAATTGCTTATCCATGCTGAACATTTGGATGCATGAAAATATTGAGAAATTCTCCCTTTCCCAACCCAAACCTCCACCCCAGTAGTTTTCCTCTTCACACACGCCTCTTCATTTCCTGATTCTGGCCTGGACTTGAAACAAACGTACCTGAATCCAGCCAGGAAAGCTATTATTACAATAGTTTTGGCCTAATAGGGGCAGGAAATACCAATAACCTTATGTGAGCTCTTCCCCAGTGGAGAGCCAACCTAAATGCACAAACTTGGTGCTCTTGCATAATTCAGGTGATACTCAGATAAGATCTGATCATTTGAAAACATCTTTCCCCCTGCTCTTCTGAGACCACTGTGTAGGGATGGATTCCCCACAATAAAATGCTGAAATCAAAATCTGGAATAATAAATTTTTTTTAAAAAGTGAGCCCCTTAGGGAAATTGGAAATACTGTTCCAAATAGTAACTTTAATTAATTGTCAGACACAGAAAAAATAGACGAGAAGATTCAGGTCTTCTGCCTTGAGAAAAAAAAAGTACCAGATTGATTGTTCAGTCATTGCACAATTAAGTATGTTTACTTCCATCAGTCCCTGACTCCCAGGTAAAACTAAATAGAGGTCTTTTCCCCAGTATATCAGAAGGAAGAAATAAAGGAAGGGGGAGGGGAGCAGGAGGAGAGAGAACATTACTTATGCAAATTGCCTCATCCTCCCTCTAAGATTGAAAGCCAATTCATAAAATATATAAAGCACACATAAGACCCCATGAAGCTATGCCTCTTTCTTTTAGTCAGCCATGTTACTGATAAACTGAAGTCACTAGCATCTAGGTTCTCGTGTTTGAAATTGAATTTCTGTCTTTAATATTACCTTAAACACCTGACGTAGGTGTTTACGATAATCTCCCTTCTAGCTTGGGCAATTTTGAAATCTTCACTGTGGTTCCCAGTATTTGACACAATTGTTTTGCCGACCTGTTTACTATGTTAGTGAAACAAACATTTTAGAAAGCGAATTGATTTTGTTGTGACCTGCCCAGTGAATCACCCTGGGTCTCCCACCCTGTGGGTTCCCAGCACTGACCCAAGGCTGTCTTTCCGCATTAATTGGGAAAGCTGTTTACACTGACTCAGATACATGTCTGAGCTGGAACTGCTTCAGGGAAGAGCTGTTAGGCAAGGTCTGTTGGTAGTTCTCTCCCAGAAATCTAAAAGGAGTGGAGGGTGTGGCCTGAGATGTTCAAACAGCTGCTTCCACAAAAGGCCTAAGCTTTTCCCAGCAAAATTCTGTGACTGCTATGTGCCCAGCTCCCAGAACTTTGGAGTTGATGCCTCAGTTGGGGATGGTCACAGAATAGACAATGGGACTGCACAGAAGCACTGGCGACTAGAGGAGCCCTGGCTGTTGTCCACCTCCTGGAAAGTTTGCCACAGTGAGTAAGAACTTGGGTCTGCATCTGTGAACTGAGGATTGGTGGAGTAAATGAATGGACACATTCACATGAATGAGCAGAAGTAGGATAAGAAGCTGGACTTGGTCCCTATTTTAGGAAAGAAGGCCCTGTCAGCTCCAGACATAACCTAGATGACAGCTGCTACTCTTAATGGCACCGTGTAGCATGATCAGGCCCCATCAGACAGCCCACGTCAGAGGTGAAGAAGGACTTGCCTCTTGTTTACAGCACAAAGGGTCTTCAAAAGGCTCATGGCAAAAGCTGCAGGAATTTCAAAACTTTTGCGCCCAAAGAAACTTATCTTTTAGTTCTACTTTCCTTGAGCTTTCGGACTGCCTCAAAGAATGGCAATTACTGATCATCTGTAGGTCTATCATGGACCAGCAATCCCACTAAAATCTCTGTTGCTCATTTTATTGCCCCTGGTTACTGCTGTTCCACCCACCCACAGCTGACCTTTTAGCCTTTTGACTGTTCATTCCAAACTCCTCCCAAATTAAAAGGCTTAGGGAAGGGCCTTGAAACCAGTTTTTCTCTTAATGAGAAGCTCTTATGAAAATGTCACCAGGAAATAGGAAGTGGGGTGTGGAGAGGGGACAAGAAGAGGTGGAAGGCAGTTCCAATGTTGCTGTTGTATTTCGGGTTGTGGCAGATTACCTTCTCTGCAGACGCCAGGTTAAAAGCAAACAGAAGAGGTAAAGGATAACCTCTCCATTTGCCTTCTTCATTCAACCTGGAGGTCAGCCAGTGTTTTCCCGAACCCTCCAAACCTGGTGATAGGGGTGTGGGTGGTGGATAAAGTAGAATACAAACAGTAAGCCATGGATCTCGCTGTATGACTAATGAATAACAAAACCACACTGAAGAGGCATGGGGAAGAAAAGAACAAGTTGAAGAGGAATTTGTCTACCTACTAAAATGTTGTTGGGGCCGCTCTTGTAGGATAGTGGGTGCAGTCTCTGCTTAGGACACAGGCATCCCAAATCAGAGCGCTAGTTCAAGTCCTGGATGTTCCAATTCTAATCCAGCTCCCTGCTAATACACTTCGGAAAGCAGCGGAAGATGACCCAAGTACTCAAACCATAACCTGCTACCTCCCAGTGTGCATAAGCAGGAAACTGGATCAGAAGCAGAGCTGAGACTTGATGGAACAGGAAGTGGGAAATCCCAGTAATAGCCTAGGAGAGATCCTGTTCCTGAGACATCAAATCCAGGAGCCGTGTTCGTAGTACTGCAAACTTCCTTTACTGTACTTCAGATCTCACAGAACAGACACCAGTTCAGACACTACCACTTCATTTTAGGGCACGCGCTGAATCTGTAAAACTTCTTTAGAAGTGGAAAGGCCTATTGTGGAAGAAGAACAAACCTTAACTTTTAAGCTGTTTTTGCATTAAGAAATGCTAAAAATGAAAAGCACAGCTATGTCCGAGGTTCCTCACACAGCCTGATTAAGAAAGTTAGAAGCACCCAAGTGACTTTCTCCAGGGAACTTTCCCATCCATTAGTCACTTGCATGTCTTCAATGAGAGATTAGTCAAACAACAGGGCTTGAGGCCCCGGGGCGTGAGTCACTCCCCCTTCAGCCCAGGGAAGTCTCTGAGGGTTACTGACAGGCTATCCACTCCTCCATTTCCAAAGACGGATTTATTTATGCAAGAAAGGAAGGAGGATGACCTCACATCAAACTGAGCCCCGACTTGGAGAATTAACAGGTGTCCTGGAGCTAGGCTGACAGGACCTGTGGTGGCAGCTGCTCTCCACAACAGAGCACTAGGATCTTGGACAGAGGCTTTTCCTGTTAGCCTCTTTCCACAGTCTGTGACAAACACGCCACTACTCTATTTAGTCTTCTTGCCCCATAACTTCTCCCTCCAGCTCCTTAGCAGCAACAAAAGACCTCAAAGGCTTAAATAACACTTCAAAGTGCTTGCTCCCTTGCCTGATTGTGATAAAGCTATCTGGGAGGTTGACAACAGGAATACAATGAGAATTCAGAAGTTAGGACCCTCCCTAAATTACAGGGTAAAAAACCTAGCCAGGAGTCAAAAAAAAAAAAAAAAAAAAAAAGTGTTCTTCCCTGTATGATCTCAAAGGTTTAGACTCAGGAAGAGCCTTACTATTTATAAAGTTTACATCTAGTATAGACTGTTTGACTACAGAAGTTGAAGTTTATTGAAGAATTTCTTTCAATGGAAAAAAAATTGAGATTTATTAAACCCTGAATCATTCCTAAACTTAAAAATCTAGAGGCCAGCACCGCGGCTCACTAGGCTAATCCTCCACCTGCGGCGCCGGCACCCAGGGTTCTAGTCCTGGTTGGGGCGCCAGATTCTGTCCCGGTCGCTCCTCTTCCAGGCCAGCTCTCTGCTGTGGCCCGGGAGTGCAGTGGAGGATGGCCCAGGTGCTTGGGCCCCGCACCCCATGGGAGACCAGGAGGAAGCGCCTGGCTCCTGGCTTCGTATCAGCGCAGTGTACCGACTGTAGCAGCCATTTGGGGGTGAACCAACGGAAAGAAGACCTTTCTCTCTGTCTCTCTCTCTCTCACTGTCTAACTCTGCCTGTCAAAAAAAAAAAAATTTAGATTTCATTCATCCAACAAATAATGTGTATGATGTTCCAGGCTCTGTCTAGTTGCTGGGAAAACAGAAAGAAACAACAAAGAGGGGCCTGGCTGTCAACAAACTTATAAATGGGAAGAGGAGAAATAAACAAAATGAGCAAATCCTTTGGTGCAACACAGCTTGGGGGAGGGAGCAAAGAGCATGAAGACAGAAGTTTTGAGGCCTGGGGTGTGGGGAGTGGCAAAGAGAGGACCCTGCAGACACTCACATCAGAACTGGGTCTAAAGGAGACACAATGGTCATCAGGCAGCCTTTAGAGGCAGGAAGGACAAGAGGTGGGAGTGCAGGGGAGCTATTTTGGAAGCAAAGAAGAGCAGATGCAAAGTAATGGAGGCATGAAACAAACAGCACCTCGTCCTCCAAAACGCGAAGTCAGTGTTGGCAAGTTGTAGAGAAAGGCAACTAGAGACAAGGGGACGCCTGGGGTGATGGACGCGAAGGCAGCTGGAAGAGCTGAGCTGCCAGGGCCACCTGCACCACGCCCACTCACACCCTGCCCTGACCCAGCAGGCGGTGGGAGGCAGAAGAGGCATAGCTCTGGGTGAAAGCAAACTGAGACAAACTCTGGTGACAGTGTGTAGTTTATACAGCCTGGCTAAAAATGCTTCTCATCAGTATATTTTGAATCTTCTAAATTATGAATCTTCTAAATTAGCTTGTCTTTTCTTCTGATCTTTCATTCTCCATGTCAATGGCTAATGATGATGCCTTGTATTCGCCAAACCTAACTGGGAGCAGTGACACGGAGTCTGTGTATCTGTGTGTGTGTGTTGGTGTGTTTGTGTGTTTGTGAGAGAGAGGAGGAAATAGTTAGACTCTTTCCCAAGTCCTCCTCCAATTTTCTCTTTAAAGATTTATTTTATTTATTTGAAAGACAGAGTTACATAGAGAGGTACAGCCAGAGAGAGAGAGAGAGAGAGAGAGAGAGAGGTCTTCCATCAACTGGTTCACTTCCCAATTGGTCACACTAGCTGATCCAAAGCCAGGAGCCAGGAGATTCTTCTTGGGAACAGAGGTCCAAGTACTTGAGCCATCTTCCAGTGCTTTCCCAGGCCGTAGCGGAGAGCTGGATTGGAAGTGGAGCAGCCAGGACTTGAACCGGCACCCATATGGGATGCGGGTGCTGCAGGCTGGGGCTTTAACCCACTGCGCCACAGTACTGCCCCTCCCTTATTTTTTTTAAAGATTTATTTATTTATTTGAAAGGCAGAATTACAGAGAGGCAGAGGCAGAGAGAGAGAGAGAGAGAGAGAGAGAGAGAGATCTTCCATCCACAGGTTCACTCCCCAAATGGCCGTAATGGCCAGAGCTGGGCCACTCTGAAGCCAGGAGCTTGAAGCTTCTGCATCTCCCAAGCAGGTGCAGGGGCCCAACCACTTGGGCCATCTTCTACTGCTTTCCCAGACCATAGCAGAGAGCTGGATTGGAAGTGGGATGGCCAGGACTTGAACCGGTGCCCATATGGAATGCTGGCACTGCAGAACAGGGCTTTAACCAGTGTGCCACAGTGCCAGCCCCCAAATCCCCTTTTTATCTACTTCTACAACTATCCCAAATAAATATTCTGTCCAAGTAGATATTGGTCTTGCTCTGCAAGGGCTCTGAGCTCCGTTCTGACCTCCTGTAGCTCTCAGTGCCTTCAAGCAAGTCCTGAAGGAAGCATGTGCTGAATATCAGCAAATGATTCCTAAGACCCATAGAAGTGTGTAAGGTTATTTGAGATCTTAGCAGTCTCACAATGCATTATTATGTTAGGAACTAGTGTGGAACCTCTCATCAGCTCCCCGGTCCTCTGCAGCCAATGGGAGAGGCACCTGCAGGTGGGAAGTCAGCACTACTCAGTGATTACTACCATTGCTCCTAAGCTCAACAGCAGATGCGTTAGCCAATGGCTGGATTCTCAGCTGAGATTTCCAAGAACTTTTTCAGGTGTTTGCTGCCAATTGTCATATTCTAGCTGAAAAGTCAAAAGTCTATGGCAGCCCTGTAAAACACACTGTTGATGATCACCTACACAAGCAGGACAAATTTCCTGTAGTGCTTTCAAAACATAAAATGGATAGCTACTCAGAAATACCTCCCTTTGTTTTAGAGATCTTAAATAACTTTGGTGCAATACAAGACTACTGCAGAAACTTGGCAAGAAAATGGAATTAAAGGTAAGTTTATTTGGGTGCCAACTTTTTTTAAAAATCAGTGCATAGTTTTTTCATAATATGAATTTTACATAAATTTCTTTAGGACCCCCTCATATGGTTACTTCTACTTACTTTGAGACTGAATTCCCCATGCCTATACTTCCTCCCTCCCTCCCTCCCTCCCTTCTCTTTCTTTCTCTCTTTCCCTCATTTTTATTTACTATTCTAAGTTTTCTTTTCTGCTTAACTATAACCAAGTGGTGGATTGTTAATAACAAATTCAAGCTATTTTCCTTTTTGAAAAATAGTATTAACAATTGGGCAAGGTGAACATACCTGCTGCCTTTTCCTCATCTCACTCAGAAGGCTGCCAAATATAGTAAATAAAAATAGTGGAACCGAGTTAAATTGAATTTCAGATAATCAACAACTAATATTTTAATAAAAGTACATCCCATGTAATATACTGACACTGAAAGTGTTCTTTTGATCTGAAATTCAAATTCTACTGGGGCTTTTGCATTTTATTTGCCAATTCCTTCAAAGAACCTTTCTTCTTACTACATGACACTTTGGTTAGGATACCTGACATGGGGGAAAAACTCAAATGCCTCTATATGGAATGAAATAAGACATATCATTTCATCTGATAAAAAATAGTTTTATATCAGTGTTATCATACAGCCATCCAAAAAGACATTTTGTGATGAGTGTACACTGATATGATAAAACACCATCATATGTTACGTAGAAAAAGCAGGACACACAGTTACACAACAGTAGTCAGCTTTTAGAGAATGCAAACTATGTAACAGGCATGTTCTAACTATTCTTTGTATTAACCTGTTTGATACTCACGATGCCATGCGACAGGTACAAATTATTAGTCAGTGTGTAAAGATGCAAAAATTAAAGCCTCCCAAAGGTTAGCACGCCCATTAACCACATATCCATACACATACACAACATGTTACTATAATGCAAGATAGAGGAGGAGAAAAGACCAGGAGAAAATGCGGTCGGCTGTAACACTGATTGTTTTGGAATTGTTTTAAGAATACAATGATTTCCAAACCCTCCCTGCATTTTCTACACTTCCCCTAAGAGCATATATGTTGCTTTGCAGATAAAACAGTAATACAATTTAAGTGAAAATGTACATCTAACTGGAAAAACTCCACTCTCACGTTTTAGTGCCCTCGATACCTGCACGCACTATGAAGTTAGTTTCAGAACTTATGTCATTCTCCCGAGTCTTCACTGGGCAGACCCAGGTCCTGTCTCCTTTGTAATCAAGCAGCTAATTCAGTCCTGTGATCCCGCCAGTCACTACACTTTTTCAAGTTCTTTCGAACAAGACCTGCCTGCGGAGGATGAAGTTGGAGACGTGTCAGCAGGAAAGCAAAAGAAATGGAGTTCCTGGGGCCCTTTGCAGGCATTCCATTAGCTAGAGCAGTGCTGGCTTTCCAACCAGCAAAGAAAAGCACAAGCAATTTGCCCAGGCCTCCAGGTCATCCCCCCGGCATCCTCCGAAGAACAAGTCAGACTTGGGAGAAACACAGACTCGTCCAAGGTGAGCTCATTATGTTGGTGTTGGCGTGCGTAGGGAGCAGGTTTGTCAGCCGTGTGTCAGGAAAAGGGCCTTGGAAGAAAATGGAGAGGGCTCCGAGCTGAAATGATTTCAGTGGTACCTACGGCGTCACTAATAAGAGTTATTTTCATAGGAGACTGGCACTAGCAAAATATAAGCTTCTGGCTTTTACTTTAAAGGAAAGACGCCAGCTTCTAAGCTCATCCCATAATTGCTTCCTACGTAAGAGCAGAGGTGGTTGGTCCAGAGAACAAGCCAGAACAGGGGTGTGGAAGCCAACCCTTCTCTGCTCCTGAGGGCAAGTTCACTGGGAGGTGCGGTCCAGAGCCAGCCAGTGGATGTGGGAGATTGGATTTGAGCTCCAAAGTAAGTTGTCTTCTTCCCTTTGCAAATAGCCACCGGGTAGCTCTCTGAGAGATGCTGTGGCGATGCCTCAGCCTAGAACAAGACTGAGTCACGATCTGTACAACTCAGTGGTGCTGCCAGCCCGCCTCTGCTCTTCCTCATGGTTTTTGTTTGCTCGGGATGATAATTAGTTGTTGGCACTATGCATGTGTGTTCTCTGGGGAAAAAATGTGGGCACCTGTTATTTCTGAAAAGAGTGTTCAATGCATCCCATTGAGGTCAGCTCACCACTCAGAGTCCACATGCTGGCTAGCGTGTGGTCACCTAACCCACAGCTCCCCTGCCCTCACGCTATGTTTGCTCCAGTCCAAGAAAAGGGAGCATACTTTTCAGCTCCTACCTCCTGCCTTCCATGAGTTAACAGACAGCAGCACTCTTCAGAAAGCAAGTGGGAGTTTCAGACTAAGCAAAACAAGAAGATGATCACCAGTGGTTTCCAACCTGGGCTATCCATTAGGCTCTCCTGGAAACCTTTGTGAAAACCAGATGCCTGGGCCCTACCCCCAGCAGTGGCTTAGCTGTCGTGGTCATTGGTCTCTCTAAGTTTCCCAAAGGACTTCTAATGGTCAACCAATGTTGACAACCACTGATCTTGTCCATTAAGGTCTTTCCAATGAAACTGGGGCCCAGAGAGGCTGACAGAATATCCCACGGTCACACAGCTTGCTAGCATGCCCTTCTTTGGACAGCTGTTCTCCTGACTATGAAATCCTTGAGTAGCTGAACTAGGCTGTGGACATTTAAATCCACTATGCCCTCTGTAATCAATTCCTGATGAGGACAGAAGGCAAGGACCAGAACCTCTTCCATGCTTTGTTCCATAGCCTCTCATGAGAACCATGGTTTTCAATATAAACTTACTGTGAACTTTTTTTAAAAAGATTTATTTATTTATTTATTTGAAAGGCAGAATTAGAGAGAGGGATAGGCAGAGAAACAGAGGGCTTCCATCTGCTGGTTCACTCCCTAAATTGTCAGAATGGCCAGAGATGGGCCAGGTCTAAGCCAGGAGCCTGGAGCTCCACCTGGGTCTCCTACATGGGTGGCAGGACCATCTTCTTGGACCATCTTCAGCTGCCTTCCCAGGTGCATTAGCAGGGAGCTAGATCAGAAGCAGCTGGGACTTAAACCAGTGCACATATGGGATGTCAACATCCCAGGTGGCGGCTGAACCCACTGTACCACTATGCCAGCCCCTGCAGTGAAGTCTTTAGCCCCCCAAATCATTAGCTATGATTCCTCAAACTTATGACCTGTTCATTTCTGGAAAAATTCAACGAGTCAGATTGCCTCCAAATTCCAAGTCAGATGACTTTACCCTGATTGATCCAGCTATTTTAAACTAAGTGCTTGACTTTGTTCAATACCTCATGAAGCTTTCATTTTGTAGAATCTCATTTATTTCCCTAGTTAAACTTGACACTTTCAAATTAATAAGCTGCTCTAAATGGCAATTTTCCTTCAGTATCAAGACTCCAGAGTGAAAGAAAGAGTTATGGGACATGTGTGCTGTGATTAAAGAGAAGTAGGCCTGGAGCTTAGGGTGTTGCCAAGGCCGTGGCTCAGAGTTCTGGAGGGCTCCATGGATTAGGCGGCTCTATCATTGCCACAGAGCATCTTTCATTTGCTGGTACAGCCAGTGTGGTGTGGTGTAGGGTCTCAAAAGTAGGCCCTTAAAGGAGTGGGGAATTTTTTTTTTTTTTTTTTTTTTTTTTACCAAAGGACACTTGGGTATTTATAACATCATTTGCAGGACACACAAAATTAACAACTTAAAAGTTAGCCTGCTATAGATTTATTGCATTTTGAGTCCTGCCTGTGGTTACTTTGCAAGGTGAGACCAGTGATTTCACTGGCCTTCTATGGCCCTTGGGCCAGAGATTCCCCACTCCCAGAACATGGCAGCAGTGTCCATGGCCCTCACCCTGACTATATCAGTGCATGCCAACCACCCTTCCAAATACCTGTGTATCCACATCTGCATTCCCTTGCTTGAGGATTTATTTTCTCTGGACCACAAAGCCCACTTTGTCCAATCACGTGGCAGACTTAAGTATCAACTCTTGGTCTGACTGTGGCCTTCAACCCCGCACACAGTAATTGGGCTTTCTAGCTCCCATCCTCCTCAGGTACAAGAACTCTAAGGTAAGGCATGTGTTGAGTTCTTTCCAAAGATTAAGCCCAGTGCCTTGTTAACTTACTTTTACTAGGGCTTTCCTTCCCTGTCTCCTTCCCCACTTCCTTGCTGGTGCTTCCTACCCTTACTGCATATAATTGAAACTTTGTGTCATGATCAGCTTCTGGAGAAACCCAAGGAAGACACAGAGATCTAGTGAACCTGTAACCCTCAGCTTCTGGAGAAACCCAAGGAAGACACAGAGATCTAGTGAACCTGTAACCCTCTGATGTTAGAAGAGCTATGAACCTCTAACTATGGCTGTCCTCAAATGTAAAATAAGGAAGAGATTCCGCTATCCCACTGGATGGCTTCCTTGCAGCAGGCAAAGGGCTGCCTCCTGTAGCTCTGAGGGCCTTCCCTGACAGGCCTCCTCTCTTTCCTTGCCCTCATCTCGAAGCACAAGGCTTCTCCAAAAGCCCTTTGATGTCTTGTTACATGCCTCATGCTCACTTGCCCGGGGGACTCCTGTGCATTCCATCCCTCTGTGTGGAACGTTTCTTCTTCCTTCTGATTGCTTGACTTCCTCTTAGACATCCTCCAGCTCTCAGCTTAAATGTTGTTTCCTGTAGATAAGCCTTGTCTGATGTCCAATGTGGATTATACTATAGATGTATGCTCCATATAAAGGCATTCTGACCATGATATTCGGTGTACTTGATGGAAATTCCCATCTGATTCCCAAGTCCACATCACTCCCCAACCAACATCATCACCGGTCTTTACACTGCTTGAGAACAGCAATAGTTTTCTTGCTCTCAACTGATATCCAGCATAAGTGCCAACGATAGTAGGTACTTAATAAATATTTGTTGGATATAATGAATGCTCCTTATTCAACATCCAAGTTGATGAATAATAGAATTTGGGAATAAACACTACCAGGAAGCGTTATGTTACTTATTCCTATGATGAGATATGGGTATCCTCCCGCCCCCAACTTTTTTGTTTGAAGCCCAAGGAGACAGGTGGACATAAAGCTGAGAGCAGCTTCATCACTTCAGCTTAGTGTAGGCTATTGGCATTTTTAATATGAAAATTTTAAGAGTTGGACAGCATCGTGTTGTTGTAATCCAGTCCTGAACTCATAAAAATGTGAATGTGAAATTTGTCAGTTTTACATTATTGCAACAAAATACCCAAGAAAGGCTACTTGTGGAGAAAAGGAAGTCTATTTAGCTCAGTTTTCATGGCTCAAGGGCATGGTGCTGGTCTGAGCTCAGCTCTGATAAGGGCATCATGGAAGATGGCAATGGAGAGGAGGCAAAGGGAAGTACAGGGTCACATCTCAAACAGGAAGCCAGAAAAGGACTGACTGGGTGAAGCCAGGCTCAGAATTTTTGTGGCAATCCTCCCATGAGATCTAGCTAGAGTATCACACAAAGCACCTTAAGCCCTTTTGACCCAAAAGGGCTTGTGTCCCCAGCTGACCCAAGCAGTTCCTGCTAGGCCCTTCATCTTAAAGCTTCCCGATACTGCAACCCCAATGACCAAGTTCTCTACATAGATACTTGGGGAGAAACCGCCTTTAACCCATAGCAATAGCCACAATGTCATGTGAGCACTGGAGGCAGAACAATGCAACTTTGCGAGGCGTTGACTTTTCTGGTGTACCTTTCCATGTAGGGGCCTGGTGGGCTTTATCTCAACAATCCCCAGGTCCTCCAGGAGTAGAGCTGTGAAAGAACCGCTTCCCCCTTTTGCAAGCACCACTTGTCCTAGAGAGGAACGTGGTGGAGGCTTCTGGTGTCCATCTCTGCCTACCTCTCTCTAACCTCATCTTCCTCCATATTCTGCTCCATACTTTCTTCTTCTATTCATTTGCAGGCACAATGGTGTTTCACATCCTTGTGAATAGTCTCTGCTATGCACTCCACCACAGAACTCTTCCCCACCCTTCCGTCAATTTTGACTGCCAACTCCTATTCATCTTCAGGGTAGCCCTCCGAACTCCCATGCTGGAAGTGCCTCTCTGGTTCCCACTACTCCCTGCTTTTTGCTACAGCCAAATATTTATGAATTGGAAATATCTGTTTACTAATGTCCCACCTACTCCACATCAAACTGCATTGTAGGCTTTCTATGGACAGGCTTCATGTCGTATTCACAATTAGCTCCTAGATGTCAAGCACAATGCCTACAATCAATAAAATATTTGCTCATACACTAAGCAGTATGGTTATTTTTGTGTGTAATGGAGTCTTCCCTTGATAACCAGCAGGCACACTTTAAATATGCTTGCTTTATTACCAGTTTATAATTTCAGAGCTTTTTGCCATTCCCTTTGTTTTAAGTGCATTTAATAAGGTCGTACAGATTGGAAAAAAGGAAATGTGTTGGCTTTTTAAAAAAAATTCCTGTGACCTGCACAAGCCTCTTGTTTGGGGTGCTGCTAGCGTAGACAATGGCCCTGGTGTGAACGCCCTGGTGAAGGGAAAGCGTTCCAGGAATCACACTACAAATCACAACTTACTCCTCACTTCCGCTCCTAGGCAAAAGTGTAGCCAATAAGAAGTCCTTGTTCTATTTTCATCAAACTGGATAAGAGTAGTCTTTTGTTAAGATGAATGAAATATGAACTTAAACACTGGAATTCACTTCCACAGGAGGGGTGATCCAAGAAGCCTGGCTTCAGCTCCATCCTGGCGCCTGTCTATGAGCACCCAAGGCCACCGTGTCCCCACCCAGGCCAGGAAAGGGCAGGGCGGCCAGCACGAGCACCAGAGCCTGCGGCAGGATGTCCAGCCCATTTGTGGCTCAGCCACAGCCACAGGGGATGGGAGGCCGGTCCATCACTGCGCCTGCCCCAGGCTTTCAGCTCAGCTGGAGGTCTCCCAAGGTTGGGTTTCTGGGACTCCGCCTGGGACCTGGCAAAATCCCCACATCCCCTGTAACTCATAATAGCTACTGTTTAGTGAGCTGTTCTCAGACAATGTGCTGCATGTTTGCATAATACCCACCCTCCTTATAATGGTAATATAACTAAAATAATTTTGAAAGGATTTTCCCAAGGAGGGGTGCATAGCTGTCTGGACTAACACCTGGGAGATCTGACTCTGTATCTTCACTCATCATAAGACAATATATTTAAGTTAGGATAATTGTAGCTTGTATGTGTTTTCATACATCAACTCATTTTATCCCCCACAGATGATCTTAAGAACAAGCTGTCCTTCTATTGATGAGGAAATGGAAGAAAGGTTTGGTGTAGAATAGAGAGATGTCCCACCAGTAACCATGCACTGGGTTAGGGACAGAAGCCTACCTCCTGGCTTTTGATTCGGAAATTAATCTAACTCATTCCTAATATATTCATGCACATGCATGCAGACACACACACACACACACACGCACACGTGCGCAAACACTTCACTCCTGGGGAGAAAGGGAACAGGTGGAAAGAGAGTTGATAGTTAAGGAGGCTGGATCATGACAATGTGAGTTTTAATTTCTCAATTCTCTGTCCACTTATTGGCATTTGTCAAGTCATCCATTGCATAAGCCAACTCTTCTATCCCAATCTTGAATTCCCATGTTGATCATTGTCGCTACATGGTAATCTCTATAAATTCAAGACATATGTGTGATAGTGATCCCTTGGGGGCAACTGAAAAGAATAAGATTGTCTGATTTGGCTAAAAGAATGAAGGTGGTTAATGAAAATGTGCCTGTGTGGGATCTTAAATGTTTATATGTGCTTGAGCATAGTATCTGCCCTCATAGACCAGACTCTACTCTAATCAATAGTGGCACTTTTATGCACTTAAGAACTATTTATACACACATAAAAAAAACTCACAGTTGCCAATTCTAAATGTATTAGATGCTATTTCCTAGACCTGTTCTTTTCTATGTATCTATCAAAGATAGATGATATCAAAGGTAGATATCAAAGATAGATAAAGATATCAAAGATGGTGTGACCCTCAGAGTCTTCACTTGAGGATTATCCAGTGAATTCTGTTGGGCCCTTCTTTGATCAGTGGTCCTGTATGACACCCCTCCCCCTCATAAGATGTCCTCTGTTGGAGGAGATAGGATATGGACCTACAAGGCCTTGAGCATCCAAAGACTGTGAACAACCCACAGACAATGAGTAGTAAGAGTAGGTCATCATTTAAAGGCTGTTAGTGAGTGGTGTTGGGGTTGGGAGGGCAGGGAGTTCTTGTGAGACAACATCCTGTGCCAAACCTGCTTCCACTCAGCTCCCTGGTCCTCAAGGTGGAAACTTCCTCTTTTCCCCCAACCAGGCTCCTGCTTTTCCCACTGTAGTTCCAGAAGCCCACCAGCCCTCCCTTCTCCCTTTCCCAAACTTGGCTTGATTTTAAAAATAAGGTAAAAGTGGAGCTCCGTATAACTTAAAGGCTCCCATAGAATGGTGTTTTCCATGAACCTTTGTTTCTCCTTCCATGTGACTACAGGAGGAGAAATGGCTATAGGGAAAAGCACACTTAAAAACTGCACAAAGTGATATTTCAAAATATAACTCTTCCCCTTGCTTAATGAGATCCTCCTCATCCTTTTCTCTAAGACTCACTTCTTCCTTGAGGCCTGCTTACTCTATTCCAGAATTTAACAGTCATTCCTCCCTCAAATTCACATTATCTATACCATTCATTTGTCTCTGTGTAACTAATCACACTGTCTTACTATAGTTTTGTTTTGCTGGCTTTTAGTGTATTTGCAACTCAGGTTTTGTCTTGTCTTTCAACTACATTATCAATGCCTTCAGAACTAAGAAAATCCCAAAAAAACACTTTGCATGCTACTGTGTCTTACATACAGCAAAAAATCTACTGGTAAGCCAATGGATTCTCATTCTGGAAGCATCTCTGAGGTATACTTGACTAAGACAAAAAGGAAGCCAGTCAACATGGAACATATGCTTGTTAATTTTATGAGTCAACACGACTGGGCCTCACGGTGCCCAGATATTTAGTCAAACATTGAGTACTCTGAGTACCTGTAAGGGTGTTTCTGTGCCCTCGCTAATGTGGGTAGACGTCATTCAGTAGACCAAAGTTCTGAATACAAAACACACTCTTGTGAATGACACAGAATTTTCTCCTGTCCACCTACATTCAAGCTCAAGCTGAAACAGGCCCTTCCTGGGTCTTGAACATGCTGGCATTTGGATTCCAGCTACACCATCAGCTCCTCGAGGTCTTGAACTTGCCAACTACACATCTTGGGACTTGTGAGCCTCTCTAAGTGGGTGAGCCAATTCCTTGCAATAAATCTTTACCTATTTCTTTAGCTATGTCTATATTTATCTCCTGTTGCTACTGTTTCTCTAGAGAATCTTGACTAACATAGACTAATGTCCCAAAGCTTTGTATTTGGGGAAACCTCCTGTCCTGAGTACTATGGTTCAAGGTCCTGACACAGATGCAAGGTAGGAATCATGCAACCTAAAAAAACGGGCAAATATTAGAAGGGAGTTTCTATTGGTGACAAGGATGATGATAAACACGTAGCTATTAACTGTGTTCTGGATACTGTTCTAAATCATTAACATCTATGAGCTGTAAATGTAAATCCTTTACATGTATGAGTTGATTTAATCTGTACAATAGTCTCTATGATCTATCTATATTTATATAAGTAACATTAATGTATACCAGAACGTAATGTATTCATTATGAAAGAACAATAACAATTACAAGAGATTAACTTTCCAAGTAAGAGTCATTTTCCTATTAAGACTTAATACTTACACTGGGGAAATAGCATATGGAGTGATATTAAGGGTGTTTGCATTTTTTAAGTGCTGTAAAGCTCTCTATTACCAGGGAAAAGAAATTCCACTCAATTAGATCATGAAACTGAGTATTACACAGTTTGAGTCCCAAGATTAGAAAGGCTTGAAGAGATTGAATACAGGTGAAAACTAATTGAAGATGTGCTGTGATATATATTAAGACTGGAGCTGTGTCTGTTACAAGCAGTCACGGTATCTCTCTTCCATTGTTCCTTCATGTGGTCTCCCTGAATAGTACAACTCATTTCCAGTAGAAATGAATCTTACGTGTCGAAGTCGTTTGTGGTGAGCTGAGTCTGGAGAATTTTGGTCCCTAAGTAACACACAATCTAATTGTCTGCTGTTGCACTGTGTTTAGGGAAAGTAGAAATTCAATTCCTGAGCTGCCACAAGCCAGTGGAGAGACAGCAGGCTGAATTTGTCATGGTACAAAAAATTAAAACAAAATATTCTCCAATGCTGGCATATTTTTTAATAAATGTTGCTAATGTATATGATTTTTTCCAGGAAATTTGAGTTCTTGGAGTTTAAGAATTCAGTAGAATAAGGAAAAGTTGAAAGAAACATCATAAAATTCTCAGCTTGGTTTGGTCATGAATTTCTTTTTAATGCAAAAACTATATATATGATAATTCCCAGGTGAATCATTTTATTATTTACTCAAAAACTAGTAATAACATTATGGTTAATTTTTCTGTTTCATTTTCCAAATGAGGACTTGCTTACTGTATCATTGAATAAAACCATGAAGCTCTCATTAGGACAATGTCAAACACCCTACAACCCTTATGAGCCCTTTTGCTATCACTGCCACACATTGTACCCCAGTATATTCACCCTGCTTGTTCCCAGGAGGACCAGATGATAGAGTATAAATAGAGCAGCATGTAATTGATGTCTAAAATAGGAATTGAATGAATACTGATTGGTGTTACAGTCTCAAATGTTACATTTGGCAACAGTTATCAATAACTGTCACCCCTTTTAAACTAAATTTAGCACTTTCATATTGTAGAATATATGTAAAATAATAGGAATCTCCATTATACCGAAAAGAGTTCTTTACGTGTATACCTCTCTGAATTTTTCCATGACACTTCAAGTGCAATAAATGTCACTGTCTGTGGGACATGCAGCCACCAGCTGCCTACACACACACACACACACACAGAAAGAGAGAGAGAGAGAGAGAGAGAGAGAGAGAGAGAGAGAGAGATTGAATAAGCTTCCAGGCCTGGGAGACACCCTGATCCAGGCTATATCACACAGCAAAGCTGTGCATCCACCACTGCCTCTGGGCCTGGACTTGAGAAAGCACAGCCTATTTGAAATTGGCTCCCAGAGCGTAACAAATGCTTTCTTTTCACTCTCATTTTGGTGGGGAACTTGAAAGAAAAAGCTGCTATACATCCCCTCCGGCATCAGGAAGCCTGGAAGAGATCTCAGAAGGAAAGACTCAGCCCACAGACATCTTAAGGAGAGTTTCAAAAATTGGGAAACTTTACATAGATGGAAGATTTTTGTAGCTTCTCTTGAGAGGTCAAAGGATCAAGCTTCACTGGACTGACATTCCCAGGTGGCAGTAGTTGGTGGTAGCTTAGTAGTGGCTGCTCTTCTCAGGGGGCCCCACTCACCACAGGCCCTTACAAGTCCCAGATTTCTCCCTCTTTCCTTTGCCCATCTGGTCCTTAACAAGGTGGAAGTTGTTACCCAACCTAAAAACAATAGCAGTGGGAATGTGGTGTCTGTGACAGTGAGGAAAATCCTCAAACGTATCAATTATTTTGTCATGAAATTGTAAGTAACCTGAGATCCTACAATACTAGTATATTTGCACTCACAACTGTTCTCCCTCTCAATTTCATATTTCAGTAAGCAAATAGTGCATAAAACCTATCATGGGTAAGGCACTGTTTCCAAATTCATGAGTTAACTCATTTTGATCTTCATAATAATCCTATGAGCTGGGGACTGTCTTCACCTCATTTTTCAGATGAGAAAACTAAGGCACAGAGGTTAAGTAACTTGCCAAGATCACATTGCTGGTTGGCAGCACAGCCAAGAATTGAACCTGGCTGACCTCACTCGAGTCTTGACTTTCAGCTGCAATCATATGCTTCAATGCACCACATACACTTGGTTAAAAATTCAGTTCTTCAAAATGTCTCTCCATGTCTATCAATGGTACCCTGAATCCCCATTGCTGAACTGGTTTTGCCTCCTCCAAGTTCCAGTGCTTACTGCCACCATAACACGCATCATACCAGCTGAACTTCCTATCTAGTGTCTAAAGCAAGAAGAGTATCTTATTCCCTGTCATGCAGTTCATAGCAGACATCCAATAAGTGTTTGTTGAATGAAAAAATAAAATATATGCCTTTTAATTTTTGTATTTCTACCCTCTTGTACCAAATTGAAATCATGTCAAAATTGGACCAATAAAAGCCTACTAAATGGTCTCATTGCCTCTGGATTCCCGTCTTTCCAAAGCAACATTCTCTACTGCAAATGCAATAATAACAGCTTGTTTTCAAAGATACTGTGAGACTTGAAAGAAAAAATGCTTATAAAGTGCCTAACCCAGCTCAGTGCCTGCCACTGAAAGAGACTACAATATACTATCCACTGTTGTAGATGATACTAGAACATATCATTCAGCATCCTTTTCGTAAAGTCACCCCGAGGCTCTACTTAAACTCCTGGCTTCAGCCTCATGCACTAGACTCCTTTCTTACTTTCGCTTCTACTCTTTATCTGGTAAAAAGGAGAGAATGGCGCAAGTCACAGAATAAATAGGTCTCAGCCCCTCCAAGAGCTGAAGTTCTACTGGAGGACTTGGAGTGCAAGGTGAAGGAGGCACCTTACTCTCTGTTATCACTTGTAAGTGTTTATTTTGGATTCTACTGCAGAATTTGCATGGCTTCTGCAAATGATAAAATGAAACAAAATAAAAATTCCTTCTTACAGGTGGCTGCTTCAGCTTCATATTCTCAGAACCCTCTAGATCAACGAGGTAAACTAGACCAATTGCCCTGTGAACCATCCTCCAAGAGATATTCAAAACCCTTCCAGGCTTTGCATGCTCTTTTGCAGCCTCTGGTTGCAATGACCACGTCTTCTACACACTTTTTCAAGTAGCAATAGCAATAGTCTTTCTTGCAGGGTGTGATTCACTCTTGTTAAGCCACTCATGTACATTGTCCCACTCATATACATTGTACCTTTTAATTTTCTGAGCATTGGAAGACATATGTACAACTGTTACCTCCTTTTTCAAGATGGGAGAAGTATTTGGAAACCTTAAACCATGTATCCCAAGTCACATGGCAGAGCTGTTTGTTAATGAAAGATTGAAATCCAAGCATCATCAGTCATTGCCATTAGGTCACATTGCTTTTAGTCCTATAACCCACTGCTACATTATCATTGTGAAGTTCATTGAAATATGCATACTGAGGAATGGGGTTTAGTCTAATGGTTAAGATACCCACTTGGGACACCCACATCTCTCAGAATACCTGAGTTTGAGGGCCTGCGCCGCGGCTCACTAGGCTAATCCTCCGCCTAGCGGCACCGGCACACCGGGTTCTAGTCCCGGTCGGGGCGCCGGATTCTGTCCCGGTTGCCCCTCTTCCAGGCCAGCCCTCTGCTGTGGCCAGGGAGTGCAGTGGAGGATGGCCCAAGTGCTTGGGCCCGGCACCCCATGGGAGACCAGGAGAAGCACCTGGCTCCTGGCTCCTGGCTCCTGCCATCGGATCAGCGCGCCGGCCGCAGCGGCCATTGGAGGGTGAACCAACGGCAAAGGAAGACCTTTCTCTCTGTCTCTCTCTCTCACTGTCCACTCTGCCTGTCAAAAAAAAAAAAAAATACCTGAGTTTGAGTTCTCGCTCTGCTTTCATTCCAGTTTCCTGCTAATACACACCCCAGGAGGTAATGGGTGACAGTTCGAGTAATTGGGTCCCTACTACTTAAGTTGGAAACCCAGACTGAGTTTCAACTTCCTGACTTCAGCCTGGCCCAGCCCAGCTGTTGCAGGCATTTGAGGAATGAACCAGTGAATGGGAGATCTCTTTTTTCTCTGCATTTTTGCCTTAAAAATAAATTAATTAAAATAAAATAAGAATAAGGTCTGTTTCAATTAGAAGAACAGAGGTTTTTTTTTTTTTTAAAAAAAAACTGCATATTGAATCCTTGAAATAAGGAGGTCAAACTCATATCCTTTATTGAAACACTCTCTTTCCTCGCCCACACAGTGGTGGTACACATTTAGTAAACTAAATAAATATAGCTTAGCATATATCCCATTAAAAATAGAGAGAAGTTGTATTTTAGATCATCTTTTCCTTCTCCTGAAGACTTCATGTTGTGTCCTATCTTGCAATAAAACACAAATTTATGTTTCATTTCAAAAGCTTTTCAAGGGAGTATTTTATTATGAAAATAGCACACATGAGATAAAAATAGGAGTAGTCCACCCTCAGTACATTTTAGGCACTTTCAGAAAGGCTAAGATACTGGCACACTGTTCAGCCAAAGCTGAAAAGGAATTCTAAGCAGAACTCTCTAGTAAAACCCATTATTAAAAATTAAAAATAAAAATATAAATTGATGGGCTAGTAAAGCAATGAGTATTTTTAAATGCAAATAAACGAACAGGCGAATTTTAGAAGAGCATATTGGCTAGTTCCTCCTTCTCAACCCCCGTTCAATGGCTTCTGGCCATAAATAAAATTTGCTTTATTTACAAGATTATGTGGAAAGAAAAGTCAAATAAAATGAAAAAAAAAAAAAAAAACCACAATCATCACAGTGTGTTTAACCAGAGTGGGCATTTGGCCTTGGGGGTTAAAATGTAACTCGGGATAGATACTCAGATCCCCTGTCAGTCTACCAAGTTTGAGTCCTGAGTCTGCTTCCAATTCTAGTGCTAATGCAGATCCTGGGAGGTAGTAGTTGATGGCTTAAGTGGTTGAGTTCCTGCCACCCACATGGGAGACCCAGATTGAGTTCCAAGCTCCTGGCTCCAGCCTCCTAGCCATTGAAGACATTAGGGGATTGATCCAGCAGATGAGACTCTCTGTGTGTGTGTGTGTGTGTGTGTGTGTGTTTCTTTGCCCTTCAAACAAATAAAAAAGTATTTTGAAAAACGTTTAACCATTCTGACCTTTCACAATTCGAATGATCTTGAGTTGCAGAAAACTTTCCAAAGCAGCCAGCTTCTATTATGAGCTCATTGTTATGTGTTTAACTAAAAATTATTTTCCCATTCCATCTGGAGAGGTTTAAACTTTTCATTCTACTCCTTATAGCTCTCTTTACTTTAGGAACTGATGGAAAGTTTCATGAAAATCTTATGATGCAAATTCAATCAAATTCCTAATCACTACCAGAATCCTGTTTGGATGAGTTTATCTCTTTTGATTAAGAAAGTTACTTTATAAAGAAAGGTTGCTTGACTGATTTTGTAATCAGTGATGGGAAGGGAAAAAAATAAAGGAAAAAAAATCCACCAGAAGTAGCTACAACCTCTTAATATAAATTCTGTTCCATAGGCTGCTATAAAAATAAGCCCTGGAAAATGAGTCAGAACTCAAAGAACTGAGCCAGACACAGTCCTGAACCCAATGCATAAGGAATAATTGAGTTCTCAACAAGCTCTGGTTGTCCTACCACTTCGTGGATATATATCACTATATTTTCTACTTAATTTTCTGTAGCTTTTATATATACCTGTGATTGGCTGAATTCACAGTGGGAAGGTGAATCAGTGATAGTTCTGGTGCCTGGGCTGTTGCAACTGGAAAGTTGGGTTCAGGTAACAGTGAGACAGTTAGCAAAATACCTACTCTTAGCCTCTTCATGTGTCTTTGGGCTTCCTCACACCATGGTGGTCTCTGTGCAGTCAAACTTCTTACACAACGGCTCAAAACTCCAAGCAAAAAGTGTTTAAGAGAACAAGACAGATAGAGCCTTTTATGTCGTCACCTCAGAAGTCACATGGCGTCACTTCTCGCATAGTGTTTTGGTTGATGGGAACAAACTCACACAGTGTCAAGAGGAGGAGACATAAACCCAAGCCATCAATGAGAACAGAATTGAAACTTTTCAGCCATGTTTAAAAACTATCACAAATGAATACAAACATATAAAGTGATACAGGCATATGTACATATGCAAGTCTTCTTCAAAATGCTCATGGAAAACATTACTTCAGGGTGAAAAATCTTGAAATATATGCATATAAAGAGCTTTCAAAAAGTCCATGAAAATGCCTACTATGAAAAAACTGTGTGAATTTCAAAATTTCTTAAACCAAAATAAACATTTTTTGACAGGCAGAGTGGACAGTGAGAGAGAGAGAGACAGAGAGAAAGGTCTTCCTTTTTTCATTGGTTATTCCCTTTCTCCATGAACTTTTTGAGGTACTCTTATTTATGGATGTATATGGGGCATATGGATTAAATCTCTTTCAACTTCCCTTTTGATTCTTCCAATAAATCAATTTTTAGGTAATATTTTGTTATTTTGTCTATTTCAGCTTGCCCAGAGTCACATAGCTAGTAAATAGTAGATTCAGGATTCAGATCCATCCACAGCAAAACCATGCAAATTTTATTATACCATATTGACTGGATGAGAGACCCCATTAGTTTTAATGCTCGTTGTTGCCATTCCTGTAATTTGAGCTGATATTATATTTGTGGAGGCTGATTTCCTTTGAAAACAAAATAAGCCAGAGGAGACAGAATTGTGTTCAATTTAAATAAGGGTGAATTACAAAATAGATAAACATCAGACACTTTGAGAAAGTTGCAAATTGAAGCCAATCGCGTTCAGAGATTGGCTCACCCTAAGGCACAGCGTTTTCTAGAATAATAGGATGTGAGCTTCTGAAGTAGTTCCTTGTGTCTTTGTAGGGGTAGCGCCTGCTGCCGGATGTATCTTCCTACATCACTCTCCCTTCTCTGAAAGCCTCAGCTGATGTGTATTAGCTGAGAAATTGACTCAGCTTTTTGTTTCATGGTACTCATAGGTTTACCGTCAAAGAGCATGCTTGTAAGTAAGAATGGAGAAAACAAGACTCTGGCTGTTAATTCCCCCCAGCACCCTTTCAGTCAATACCAATCAGAATAGCCCATTTCATCACAACCAGCCAATGAGCGGGGGAGAGCAGCCACCCCACTCTGCAGCAGATTCGTGCTGCATGAAGGGAAGTAACTAATGACACCTTCAGGACAGAACACGTTGAAAATACAACCTGCTGGGTTATCAGTTAAGGGATCGTTTGAAACTCAAAGGTGAAAAACTAAAAGAAAAAAAGAAGAGGCATAATGCCCCCAACAATCCATCTTATGTGAAAGCTATAAAATTTACTACCATCTATAGTTTCCATTTCATTTCTCAAAGTCATTCATAAGGCAATTCAATTCATAGATCATAATGACTGTGGTAGGATGTTCTGCCGACCTACTCTACTCGTTCCCACATGTGTGTGTCCATTTGTTTGCTGGTCCTTGTCAGCAAGATTTACACAATGACAAAGTCTGACTGCAACGGTAGAAATTTCCTGCCTGCAGAGACAAGGGATCACTACAATAAGAGGATCAGATCAAAGGGAGTTCAAAGAAATAGATTTCCCTTCAGAGAAAATCTTTCTAGGTCCTAAATCCTTGGTATGATTCAAACAAGGGAATAGAAATAACTGTAAGTGTGATGTCTAGGAGTGCTATAGAATTCATTGTTGATATTGAGTGAATTCTCACTAATATTCAAATGAGCAATTACTAGCAAATTAATTTGTCTCCTTGGGCTACATGCTGTCACATTGCCACAACCAAGAAGATTCTTTATGCTTTAGTGTTGGGAGAGGCTATGTCAAAAAGATGTTTGGCAGCATCGTATCCTATAGAACCAATGAGAGAAAAAAATAGAGCCAAAGAGGTGTGTAGGGGCCTGCATGGCTGAGCAGGCCCAGGAAAAAGCAAGTAACAGAGAGAGGTAGGGAAGCTCTCAGTTTTAATCAGCTGCTACAGCTTCTCTTGAACTAAGGAACCATATTTTGTCATTTCATCCAAAAATGTTTGTGGAACTAGGGATAAATAAAAGTCTAGTTTATTTGATGATCTAGCTAAAACCATATGCCAGGAAAACACAAACAAATGCCTTACATATGGATTAAATACTGTTATTAGATGGGATTTGCCAAGACAAATGCAAGTGTTTCATTGGTTGCTTCCTTCTGCTAAATATAATGACTAGCAGACACTTGGTATTCATTAAATGTCAAATCAACTGACAATGGAAATATTGTTTGACCCTTTTGCCAATTAGAATAGGAAAGTTGATAAATCTGACCCTATAAAGAGGCTTTGTACGTACAAATTGCATGATTTTTTTGAACTTGCTGAGAATAGAAACAAGCTCTACGTATGGAGCACTATAATCCCTACTTTATCTCTTATCTGAGGAAGGGAACATAAACCTTTGTCATCGGCATCTTTTCTGCAGAATTCCATGAATCCACTCTGATACTGACTCTTTGTTTTTATGTAATTCTTTCTCCCATAGCAAAAAAAAAAAAAAAAAAAAATGAACTGATGTGTTAGAAAAGAAATCTACCTTGGTAAAACCAAAGTATTCCAATCTTTTTTCTTGCAGCCTCATATTTATGTTGCTGTTGTTGTCCAGAAGTTATTGTCTTCTTTACCATGAACAGTGGCATATGTGTCTTTCTACATGTTAGCCATGGACTGTTAGAGGAGGCATTTAGTAAAGAGTAATCTCTTTGCCTACTGCAGACTTATTTATTTATTTAACTTTTGATTTCAGAATGGTTTTACATTTGTAAAATAAAAATTGTACAAAGAGTTCCCACATATACCACTCCTGTCTTCCTCAATTATTAACATCTCATGCTAGCATTGTACAGGTATCAGAGTTAACTAACCACACCTAACTTCCCATTCTTTTAATCCAAATTCTTTGTAGCCCTCCCAACCCTTCTAGTCTCAAGAAGTCAATACTCTTTAAACATTTTATTTATGAAAATAGAGGTAAGAATGAGATGAAGCATGCCTCCTTTTCTCTGAGTAACCCACACAGTGCAGTAACATATTTCTCTCTAGTGTTGCACTTACCCAAATATAGTCCAAAAAATGGCAACCTGACCTGGTCAGAACCCTCTTCCTTTCTGGCTGACCTTGACTCATTCTTCAAGACTCTGGAATTCACATCATCCCTTCAAGGAAAACTTCCTGGGCCTTCCACAACCTTCCCACCCCATACTGCTTCCCTCCAAATCCAAGGCAAGGTTAATACTGTGCTCATATATACAGGAAGGATCTTCCATAAGTGCAAGCAAAATGCGTATTATGAAGAAACTGTGCATGGACCTCACTTTTTTTGCACCAAAATAAGCTTATGTTTAGTTCCATTTTTTTCACCAACTTTTTGAAATATGGTCTCTCTCTCTCTCTCTCTCTCACACACACACACACACACACAGATGGTCCCAGACTTATGATTGTTTGACTTACAATTTTTCAATTTTATGATGGTGCCAAAGCAATATGTATTCAGTAGAAACCTAATTACAATTCCGAATTTTGCTCTTTTCCTAGGCTAGTGATGTGTAGCAGGATCCCCTCTCATGATTCGGAAAGCGGCAGTGAGCACAGCCCCCAGTCAGCCCTATGATCATGAGGGGGGGGAACACACAACGGTGCTCCAGAAGGTATTCTCACCAGTGATTTGGGGATGTGGGTATTCAATAAATTCCATGAGATATTTATCATTTTGTTACAGAGTTTTTCTATGCAAATCCTCTCCTATGTGACCATATCACTCAGACTAAAATAAATATCTGTTAAAATGCTTTTTGGAGGAAGGACAACAGGAGTATTAAGAAAGAACTTGAATGATCATCACTTTTTATTTATTTGAAAGGCAGAGTTATAGAGAGGCAGAGACAGAGAGAGAGAGAGGTCTTCCATCTGCTGCTTCACTCCCCAGATGACCACAACAGCTGGAGCTGTGCCGAACTGAAACAATAAGCCAGGAGCTTCTTCCAGGTCTCCCACGTGGGTGCAATTGTCCAAGGACATCTTCTACTACTTTCCCAGGCCCTAGCAGAGAGTTGGATCAAAAGTGAAGTAGCTGGGACTAGAACTGGTAAATATACGGGATGCTGGCACTACAGGCAGAGGCTTTACCCACTATGCCAGAGCACCAGCCTCAACCTACTATAATTTTAAAGGAACTCTACATAAAAACCACAAAACCAATCAATGTTGTAGACTACAAAAGATATTCCATGTCGTAGATAATTGAACAAGTAGTTTGTTTTTCCTGGTTATCATTTGTTGTGTTATATTTTCCTTCCAGAAACCTCGAGGCATTTAGTAAATAAGATTTTATAGTTATTCCCAAATAATCTGACCCAATTCATGGAATCTTCCAATTCCATGAAACCAAGGCATCTCATCCCTAATTAACCTGCATGTTTCTTTTCTCACCGGAGAATGCCATATAAATATTTTAACAGTGCTGGGCATGTTGTTTGAATGAGGTGACTATTAGTTTCCGTCAACTTGGCCTTGTGCCTTTCCCTTATTTATCGATTCTCTCCCTGTGATGCTGAAAGACTCCACATCCCTGGAATCTTTGCTACACTTGGATTTGATCTGAGGGACTTAGGGCACAAAGCAGCAAACAAGTGAATGACTGAATAAACGAATGAATGGATGAAGGCAGAGTGGTCATCTCCATCTTAAGGCTGAGGCAGCCTCTGAAAGGCACAATGAGGTCATGTGCCTGGCAGGAAGCCACACACCACCAGGAGCAGCACCTGATCAAAACCAAGTTTATTTTCTTTGCTCTGTCCATTTAACTCTAATTTTTTACAATTCCTATAAAATACTAACATCAAAGAGCAAAAAAAAAAAAAAAAAAGGAAAGCTAAATCACATACAATTAAATGATTTTTTAAAAAAATGAATGGGATTTGCAAAGGATACTATGAATAAGGATTTTGGGGTAAAATTTCCTTGGTAGGAAGTAAAAATATGTTTCTTAGTTACCAGATCTTCCTCTCCATTTAACAGATTCAGGAATACTTTTTGGTAATGCTTTCATTGGGGGTGGGGGCTATATACCATAGAATACTGGGTATGCCCACTGCCTTCCTTTAAAAATATGTTTCACTGTTGCCCACTACATTGCGACAAGTAAAGGAGAGGACACTGGAAGGGATCCTACATGGTGACAGATACTCCATTGTTACATCGACGCCTGTACTTTTTAATTCATTTTTCTCCACATTTGGACAGGTCAGGAATAAATTTGATGCCCTATCTGTCGAGGGGCTTTTATTCAGGAATAGATATCCAAAGAATTTCAACAAGCATAAAATAAGAATAGTCTGCATTGTCTGAAACTCTGACTTGAAGGGTCCTAGCGGCGAAGAAAAAGCTATTGAAGTCGCCTTGCCAAGGACAGTGCGGGACTGCCCTGCGTCCTGAGCTCTCTGCATCCCCTCTCCATTCGCTGCTCAGATATTCATGACTCGTTGCTTCTTCCAGCCTGGCGTTCTCTCTCCCTCTGCCTCTCTCGCGCGGCTCCCCCTCCCCCGCTTCCCTCCCTCAGGCTTCTGCTCCTTCGTACTCCTCTCCGCTGCCTAACTACAGCTCCCACTGGAACTTGCACAATCAAAAACAGCTCTGCTCTCCGGCACCTCCGGCAGCGCATCACCTGGAGGAGCGCGGCTCGCTCCCGCTCCCGCAGCCGCAGCCGCGCAGCCAGGTAGCCGGGGGCGGGCAGGTACCCTCGTCGGTTCGGTGCTGCCAGAGCATCTCCCGGGGTAGGTGGCCGATTCCCGCCGCCCGCCCCCCACCCCCGACGCGGGGTCCTGCAACGGGGATGCTGACCCTTCGGGGCAACGATGGAGAGAGAAAGATCACTGCCGGTGGCCACTGAACGTGGGGAGAGGCTGCGGCAGTCGCCGGCGCTGCAGAATGTGTGAGTGAAGGGAGCCCCGCCAGATTGCCCATCGCCCTCGGTCTTCACTCACTGTCCCCAGGAGGGGACCCCGGGAGACAGATGCACTAACCAGGCGGTGCCACCCTGGATCTATAACTGTGAATGCCCCACTGTGGAAGATGGTAAACAAAGACATGAATGGATTCCCAGTCAAGAAATGCTCAGCCTTCCAATTTTTTAAGAAGCGGGTAAGGACAGGTTGTGCTTCCTCTCTTTTGTTTTCTGTGCTCCTCTTGAACGCTTCTGAATGCTTGCCTGAGGTACCCCTAAGGTTTCCTGGCTGAGTCCTCAGTGACAGCCGGGCTCCTGCTAGCAGCGGTCAAGTCCCCAACTCTACCAGTGCCTTGATTCACGCGGGTTGGGGTGGGGTGGGGTGGGGGGCTGCCAGGAAGAGTTGCATTGGGAGGAGGGGGCTGGGCTGAGGTGCCCAAGAAAGGATTTGAGCTGACAAGGGAGATGTCTCCATCAAAGCCCCTAGGAAGATTACAGGGGCAGTTTAAACAGTCTTGGCTTGTGCACAGTTGTGGGTAGTAATTTAGGCAGGGGCTGGTGGAGTCCCTGGCTTTCTCTTGATCTTTGAAGGGTCCAACTTTCCCACACCCTTCACTCACCCCCTGCCGCATCATCACCTCTATCCCTCAAAAGCAGCAGCTTCCAGTGTCCCAAGTCCTTGCAGCTGGTAATTTGCTGGGTCTCTATCTGTGGGCATAAATAGCAAAGGACTAGAGTGACCTTTTGCAGATATGATGGAATCCGGCATTTCAAGTTGCTTCAGTTTTGCTTGGTGTGCTGCCTCATTTTCTTGTGTTTCTCTTTAAGAGAGAGTAAGGGGTGACCTGCATTTGAATGACAATTCAGGCTTATGCTGCTGTATGTGGTTATTGCTTACATTCCTTGTTTGTCTATTCATAGCAGGAGTATTAATAATGCTTCCTCAGTTGTAAATGAGCAGGAAACATTTTCTTGTCTTTTTTGTGTGCTTCACAATGAACTCAGTTCTTTGTAATGGCCACACTGGTGGTCTGTATAGATCTGCAGATTTTTACACCAGTGGGAGGGAAGAATTGAAGGATTGTTAAGGACTAGTGACTGACATCCTTAGGGAGAATATTTCTTCAACAACAGAAACATCCTGTGGTCCCTGGCTGCCCCGGACTATTTAATACCCAAGGGCACTTCCATTAATATGGTTCTCTCCATTCATTCTTCCTTGCCTTCATTCAGGTCCTTTCAGTGTCATGCCTGAAGCCCAGCCCTTCAGTTAACTCACCAGCAGAACATAATGAATTACAGGCTGGGCTGGACTACCTCCTGCACCAAGTGGGCAAGCTGGGAAGATAGGGCTGGATACGTGGACAGCCCAGCCTGTCAGGTCCCAACCAGAGGCTGAGCAGAGCCTCCCACACACCTTGAGGGAGCAAAGGCCTCCCCCTGAACTTCCTGGGCCAAAACACATGCACTGAAACCAAAACACAACCAGCTCCGGGAGCTGGGGTACCAGGTGAGGTCCTGCACTCGTGGAGTCTGCAGACTGAATGGCAGCAAGTCAGCACAACTTCTCAGAGCTCCACAGTGATGCTTAGCTTTTCCCATCAACTAAAATATTTTTCCAAGGGGAGGGACCTTTGTGAAGACCAATTTCCATCAACAAACAATTTTGCTAATAAAAATACCATAATCCATTATTCAGTAGTTAAACTCCCTACTTTATTTTAATGAATGATTTTGTCTGATAGTCTTGGAGGTATTGTAAAGCCCCTCCATCAAGTATCCATTAGTCACCAAGTAACTGTCACGTAGATTTTTTAAAAAATTGTCTCTTATGTTCTTTGGTATCGAAATATACCAACAGAAATATTAATTTAACATTTGATTTCCTGTTGCTTAAAAACGTAATTTACCGATGGAATTCAGTTGATGCTCCTGAAGATCTTGAATTTTGGGAAAGCTAAAGCAAGGTATCGATGTCCTACGTGATCTTATGAGTACATGCGAAGAGAACGTAGTTTGCACCAACATAACCTGGAGGCAGCGTCGTCTGCCTTCAAACCTGGCTCTAGCAGTTGCTGAAGGTAGGATCAGAGATGCCCCAGCTGCTCTGCTCCTTATCCTTCAGGACTCCCGGGGAGAAGGTGACTTTGTGTCAAGTCATCAACAGACCCGGGGTGAATCCCTTGATTCCTGTCTACTTTGGCTTCTTGTACAAACTCTATGTTCTAAATGTCCATTGAAGTTTGGACTGTGACTTTACTTTTGCTTTTTTCTTAGTTTTTGGTTTTTAATTATACAACTAAAATGTAAGTTAATGTGAAAAGCATAAAATAGTACCCAGGTCTATCTTGCCTCCTCCCCCATCTTCTTCCCTTTTCCAGAAGTGACTGTGGTCATGTTGGTGTTCATGTTTTCTCAGGCCTCTCCTACGCATTCACATCCACATCCCTGTACCATCACACCTTTGTTGGCTGCTAACAATAATCCGTTTGCCTATATTCTGTTGTTGAAGTTCTGTACATTTCTGCACTTTTTTTTTAACCTAGCTAGACAATCTCTTAGCATGAAACTTTGTCCAGTGTCCGCATAGAGCCTAGGTTAGAACACACTAAAAAGACTGAGTTTTGAACTCAAATCTGATTGCAAAAGGCTTACATAGTGCTTGCTCTGCCTCTAAGACATTCCAAAGAGAGTTAAAAAGCCACCAAGAGAGTAGAGATGATCTGCCATTGGAGCTGTCCACCAGTCCCCGTGTATTAGTGCTGACTGCGCTGCAGACGCTACAGCCAAGTGCTGTCTGTGGATTACCCCCACAGCAAGCTTACGAAGTAAGACAAATTATACCAGAGAGATTAGACAACTAGCCCAAGGTCACATAACTGAAAAGTGGCAAAGCTAAAATTTAAACCTTAACTGACCCCAAACTGGTATTTTTAATGCAGACTTCTCAATTCCAACCAGTCTACTTTATCCCTTTTTATTCCATAGCATGCTTTCTTTTTTCTAAATGAAATCTTCATGCCTCCATAACAGTTTATAAAGATTATAAAGGCGGCCGAGCTACAGCAGACAAACCTCTCGAAACTCTGTCCTTGCTCTCAGCATGACAATGATTTGAGGTAGCTTCGGAGATCCAGATTCCAGGAACGGAATCTAAAGAAAGGCAGGCTTGGTGCTAGCTCCACAAAACCCTTTGGATTTATGCTTTTCAAAGCTCAACTAAATCAGCTTAATTTCACTTAGCTGAGAATTGCTGCACTAAACTAGATAAGAGTCCCACTTTCCTTTTCTATGTGCTAATGATAAATTAGCATTAGATAGGTATGAATTATATTTTATCCTTAGAGTCTCCAACAATTCATTTGAGATGAATGAAAAATGCCCTTATCAGTTTTATTCCAACAATGGAGGAGCTTTAAAAGTTATCTGTCCTATTAAAAGTAATCCATTCCCAGGGATTTAAAGATTTGTTATGGCCCAAATTCTTACATAATGACTCAGAAAACACAAACAAATGACATTGTCTCCAACTTGATAATCCTTTTGGGAATACACTAGGTATGTGAAAAAAAAATTCTATAGCCACGATTACATTACCCTTTGTAAAATTTCAAAGGAGATCTAGCTGCCTAGAATTCTGGATTTGGAATGAACCACCAAAATCCCTTCATTGACTTCCCTGTTTCAAAGATGGGAAACTGAGTGTCTGGACCAGCAATCTACACCGATTAGAGTGGGTCAGCCTCGTGTTTCCAGTTCTCACTACCGGATCTTCATTATGCTATCAAATTAGTCTAGTGCTTACTGCCTCATTTAAGCATGTTTTTAAACAAATAGAGTAGGAACAAAATACACTGTTTTGTCCTCGTGGAGCTAATTGCCTAGTGACTGCTAAGTTTGACAAGACCCTTCTGTCTTGACTCAGTATTTCATGCTTATGTGCATTTGGGCAATTCCTTGTGTTGTCCCTTTATAATAGCATCTTTTATAACAACTCTCCCTTATATAGCACTAATCTTCCCGGGCACTGTTTTAACAGCTTTAAGTATATTGCACACTTAATCTGCACATACGGAAAACCTGTTACCTTATTTTCACCGATGAGGAGACAGGTGCACTGAGGTTGAGGAACCAACGCTCAGTCTACAGCGAGTGTGTGGCAGAATCAGGGTTTGGATCCAAGCCCCAAGTTCCAGAGTCCATGTACCTTAAACCACATGCACCCCCGCCCCCTGTGATGTGAAACAAACTAGAGTGCAGGTGAAAAAAATGAGAAGCTGTGACTGGCCTGGCTTCCTCCTTTTTCTGGCAATCATGGGGAACAAAGGAAAGGATTTCAACCTGCTGTTCACTCTAGCAGAGCTGAGAAATGAAACCAAGCTCCTCTCGAGGGGCTATTCTTCAGAAATGTTCTATAGACAGCGTCCTTTACCATTACAGTTCTATTAAAGAGCCTCTTCTTGCGGAAAACCCTGGATGTCCTCTCGGAAGCATGGCATTCATTGAGCATTTACAATGGGCCAAGCAGTCCTCAAAGCACTGCCCTTGTGAAACCCTCACAATCATCTCATTGTGCCCATTTTATAGCCAAGCAAACTGAGGGTCAGAGAGGTTAAGTAACCTATTGATGGTCATAGAGCTGGGAAGAGGTGTAGCCAGAATTTAAATTCTAGCAGTCAGTCTTTTTATCTGCATCACTGCTGAGATACTACAGTGATGGCTTTCCCATTGGATGTTACACGTGGGAAGACAAGCCAGAGAGGATTTCTGTTCTTTTGGTTAGGGTCAGGGCTATGGATGGAGGTATTTACCAGGTGACCTCTGAGGACATTAAGGGATGCTTTCCAGCAAATCAGAAACCTGCCTTGGATTTCTCCAGGATATATTGGATCATGCATCCTGGAACCATGGTGGGGACTTCAGTGCCTTCTGGTGTATTTTCTTCAGGAGTAGCTGAGGTCTGAGCTGTTGTAGTGCTTCCCATGCATGCTCCTACAGCACAGCACGTGGCCCCATTCCTCTGCACTGTAATGTTAGGACTGTTTGCTCATCTGAAGCTCCCACTGGGTGGAGAGGTTGTTAAGAGAACTGGTTACCTTGCTCCTCATATCTCTTACTCATCAAATCCTACTTGTTGAATGGAATAATGCATAAACGAGTGAAAGAATCCTCAAGTGACTTGTCACTGTCATTGTCT